AAATTTAGTCCTCAAAATTTGTAGTTTTTTAATTTTTAGTTTCATGATAATACTTCTTGGAAAAAAAAAGACTATATTTGTAACAACTTATTCATTATGTCAAATATCTTGAGTTCTTATCACAGCATTTGTTCATAGAGTAGATTCGGTTTAATTCATGCATATTATTAATTTTGCGTCATGTAAGGAATTCAAGCATTTTGATATCTGAGCATTCCATTGGTTTAATGCTTTAATAACATCTTATCATGATATTTATTTTATCTATGCATACATGCTTCATAGAGATTACATATTGACAGAGAAAACACATTGATAAAAAAATTTCATACATGTCTATTTTTGCTAATTTTATCCATTTGATAAAGATTGTCTCAGATTGGTTTTGCCATTATGATAAACGGCCAGTAAGTTTTTCCACTCATAGAGTAATTTTTTTTGGCTTTTTCTACAGAAGCTCTATCATTGCATCATAAAACTTGCAAAATGTGTGTTTCTTGAGCAGTGCACTTCACATTTCCGTTTCGGAGCCGAGCTCCGCATGTCCCGCTCCAGCACGTATAGAGGCACCACCTTTGTTCAACGGATTGCATGCATTTGCATCAGACATTCACTCTATCCAGTGAGATCGTCCTCTGGAGCTAGAGTTCTGGCGAAACTGTGGCATCGAGAGATCAGAGACTCGGTCCTGCGAAAAGAGACAGTCCACATGTGGAGAAAATGAGAAATGAACTCAATGTTGATGCAGTCTTTCCTACGTTTTAAGGAAACAGCACGTTAAAGAAAGACGACCGGAAGCGTATATGCAGATGCCCAAGTTTGCCTGTGAATCAGGAAAGAATTCGAAGTGGACGCGACACAAACTTGGCGCAGCTGGAGAATTAAATTCGTTGAATAAGCGGCATAACATGTGAACATCGAGGTAATTGACACAGGAATTTTCTTCCTCAGAATTGCAATGGTCTGATCCATTACCCAGACCATACCCTTGCCACGGCTCTTGACTTGATCATTACGACGGCAACTTCAAACCTCACAAAGTCTTCACATCTTGATGCATCTCTCCATTAGGTAACGATGATTCTCGTAACATGATCCGTAGTTTTATGCTTGATACGATGGGATTTCTAGATGTTTAACCAAATCCCTGCTGATGTTATAAGAGTACACATCTAGGCTTGCATGATGCATGCATCAAAACCCAAATGACTTGAGTCGCATCGCGATAGAAGACTGAAAGAGCCCAAGAGATTAAATCGTGAATTTGAACTAATGAAACTATATCCCCCACATGCGACCTCCGCGAGAATCCATCATTCATACTCGTGCCCTGTCCTTTTCCATTGCTCCTCCTCAGAAGAGCAATTAGCTCGATGTTCACTAGTTATGTAACTTCAGACATATGTAAGGTCTGAAGTTACTAATCTGCACTATCGATCTAGTGATCTCAAAGCGTCCAACTCAAGAGGAAGTAATGTCTTTCCCGCAGGTGCCAAGCGTTGAGCTGGGAGGTAGGGAAAGCCTGCATACGAATGTGAATATGGCCTGTCAGGCGGTCTTCGCACACTGAACAACTTGTCAAATTACGCCATTATCTGATTTCTCGATTTTCAGGAAGAACTCTAGCAGGGCCCTTGTGAACAACAGGGCGTGAGAAGATGATCTTGCTCGTGGGCTTGCGTTGCACCTATAAATGCTATAGTTTTGAGACCGAGCTGTAGGGGCGAATACTCTTACTTCTGATGCCTGCCGATCAAATGGGACAACAAATTTCTTAGTGCGAATGTATCTGGTCGGTTGCGGAGATTAAACGACCAGAAGTGACTCTTGACGATCGAAGAAAGTCATGCGATGAAGAAGGGCGAATAGTATGAACAATTAGAAGCAGAGCAAGAAGTAAGACGGAAAATGTTAAAATCGAAGGGAAATGGAGGGGGAGCTCTCCACGGAGGAATTCCAAATCTCGCACTCTTTGGATCGTCCGCCAACGGAGAATCTGTTAGGTCTCTCAGCAGGGAAGAGATGCATGCACGGAGTCAATGGAGCAAGCGAAGGTGAACGCAGGATTCAACGCACGCGATGCTGGGATCTACCGACAGGACATGTACACCGAGAGGGGTTTGATCGTCGATCCACATTGAATATGTTCACCCTTCTCACAAGGACTTGTAACACGACTGTTGACCTTAGGTAAGCAGTTGTGTCCCAACTTGGCGACAGCTGAGTTCTGACGTCTTTTGCCATCAATCCGTCAAGTAGTCTATACACAGTTTACACACCACTCTAGAGTGGACATTCCAGGTACCATTAATTCAGTAGATTGAAGACGATGAATTGAAAGCCTTCCAACTCCTGAAGCCAAACCAATAACCGAATTAAGAGTGTTGTATTGACGTGGACCACACTGATAATTGACGTGGATCAGTGATCAGTGATGTACAATGACGTGGACCACACCGGTTCACACACATAAGCTGATCATGTATATAGTCCGCAACTGTACATGGTGCCACAGACGAGTGTTCCTTTGTTCCTAGCAAGTAACACGCACGAGGTAAGAATAAAATCTATGACGCAAATTTCTAAGTATAAATACTTCCCATTGATTAAATCTTTAAAAATTCCATTTCAAATTTCTAAGTATAAATACTTCCCATTGATTAAATCTTCAAAAATTCCATTTCAAATGTTCAACGAGCGTGTTAGTGACATCCACTACCACATTGTGTAAACACTACTATTCAGCGTAGTAGCAAGTAGGCCTCGGCAAGGTAACATTTGAGGGTTACCCGGTAAAAGATAGAGGTTTGGCTATAACGTAAAGTAAAGTTAGAGCCATATGAATTATCGGGTAACCCTCTTAACGAAAAACTGAAATGTACATATTCTCAAAATTAATCAAAATACAATTTTGCACATTCCAGGTAAACGGTACTAACAGAGTTTACCCTATTACCTCTACTCTAAAGGTAATTTACCTTTTGCGCTCTAGTGTAAAGACAATAGGGTAATTATCGGGTAACCGTAATCTTTTATCCTTTAGGGTAGTAGTAATAAGGTAATTATACTTGAACTCAAAGTTGGTTGAAGCTTCACACAACTTCACCTGTACTGAAATTACTGAGTTATCATTACTAAGTTAATCGTAGTTTTGAAAGATTTTTAACGAATGTAAAAAAAACACCATCAGGAAAATATACTAGAAACCAGAGACTAGCCTACCATGAGTGAGAATATTGGAGTTAAGTATATATAGCCGGTAGGAAATCTACCGGGGAGTATGGTAAGTGGCTACCGTGACCTGCTACTCAGGTATGGGGTACAGACTCTGATCTGAGCTAAGTCCACTTTCTAGGCCAAGGGGTACTGGGTCCGGTACGTTCCTGCTCAAACAGTCATTACAGATGAGCCGAAGACCTCAATCCTGGACTGTGATGAACCCGAAGGAACTCGAGGGCAGGAATCTTCCAGCAAAGGTTCACATCTAAGCACGCACAATTGCCGGTCTGGATGATTGAGACCAACATTCTGGGTCCTCAGGACACAAACTTTCCACGCAGGAGGCCCTGTCTCATTAGTGATCGATGAAAACGTGAGCTACTTAGATGCGAAAAATTCATGAACCGTCAGAAATTCTGGCCATGAGATCGATTATATTTACATCGGCAATTCCCCCATTCTTGAACTCAATGCAACCTTTAGCGAGAATGACGATGCAATGGTATATGTCTTCTGGCTGAACCACTCGAAACTTGAAGTAAGCTATATGCTTTGCCAGTCTTTCGCTACCTACTGGCTGACGGTCCAGAATCTGTTGCCATTTGTAGCCATCTGAGGCTGCAAATGTCAAGGCATGTCGAAATCTCTCATACACTTCAGGCTTGTGAAAGATTTCAGGGAGATGTGAAAGTTAAGCAGCACAATCGTGTGCTCGTGGCAAGATGTGGGTCTCGAGATATACTCAAGAACTGAAAATGTGGTAGACGTGACTCAAAATTGATCTTCTCTAGATTCAAACAAATGAAACACGCGGTTTGCATTTCCGTTCGGTTGTTTGAAGGGAATAAAGTATGTACCTTTCTCTCTTTCAATGTCTTTTGATCCCCTTCTTCACCTTTCATGTACATGAAAAGGCGTTGACATACGAGATTGCTAATTTATTGTTATAAAAAGTTTCAATGAAGCTAAGAAAGAAAGAAGAAGAAGGGGGCAGGTGGATATTAAAGAAGATTGGGAAGACCTCATCAAGCACAATACTGTACATTTTGTTGCTACTGCGCAATGAAACGGCTGCCCAGGAAAGTCTCTCAATTGACCAGATACTTCAAAGGCTCCATCAACATCACAAGCAGCGACTTTTCATAAGTTTCACGTTCTTGTTCAACTTTCAAGAATCTGAAAACTACTCATTGACTGTTACTACCGACGTCAAGGTCGGATATGCTGGACACACCGTGCTTGCTCTATTTAATGAAAGCCAAACTGCCATGATGAGCTTTGATAATCAGATTTGGAATGGCTATTTTGTTCTCCTTCTTGGAAACTGTGAGTCTGTAGTTTCAAGTTAATTCTCCTATCTTTATGCTGTTCTCTCTCTACTACCGTGATCTTCCAAAAAGCATTTAAAAGATTGTGGATCTTTATGGCTTTTCTTTGAAAAGCCCAGAAACTTTTTGCCTGATCCTCCCTAAACTTGTCAAGACTTTATAAATGACGGCCATCAAAACTTACAGACTTCGTTAGAGGAACATTTTCGATGAAAGTGATTTACAGATCTGTAAAACGTGATTTGTTATCCAGTATACCAGGTTGTAGCGAAGTGATGTGACACATACGTGTGGAGGAAATGGAACAGACTGCTCTGAATTGGCAGACGATCTAAGACTGCTACTTCTAGGCTTCTGGACACGGATGATATGGTTCAAATATTCAGCGAAAAGCTTCGATTCTCGTGATAATTGGATGCATAAATCGTTTGATCATGGAATGAACACCAAAAGAGATTGATACTGCCAAGTATCTCCTGAAGTTCTTAGTATATGAAGCTTAAAAGTACAAGTGAAGTAGATGACTTCCAAGGAAACTGAGACTGAAAGCATGATCCTATCTGTAGGATTGTAGGACTGACAGTGGGCGTCTTTGGTATATACACGCCTCTTCTGTTCTGTGCTCACGTGCTGCATACTGACTTCACTGGTGTATGTATTGAAAGCAACAGAGGGCGCTCATTCTGAACTGTACACACCTCTTCTGTTTTGGATAGTGTCGAACTTCACCAGATGTTCAACTACTAAAGTAACCTCAAAAATTTTGATTGTTGTCGGCTTCATAAGTCTGACCAAACTGCCAGTTCTTGGGAGCGATGTCCCAGAATACGATGCTCTTTCCATTGCCTAAAGTCACTTTGAAAGAGAGAGCCTGGCCGACTAGGTATGAACTGGCGGACCAGTACTGTCCCCAGTTCTGATGCATGACGACCCAGTTGGTTTTGCTCCCTTTGATCGATACAGCTGCCACATCTCCACCCCCTGCTACATTGTGGACAAGTACATAGTCGAACCAGGGATTTCCATACAGGCTCATGCGTATCCCTCCTTGTTTGACGCAAGGCACCCTGCCGATGGAACAAGAGAAAATCTGTTAGTGAATATCTCCGAAGTCAAAGGACAAAAGATTGTTTAACTCAACTTCCACAGAAAACACACGTCAAAATTGTCAAGTATTTCTTTCGAAGATAATTGAAATATGATCATGGTTGTGGTACCACGTTATGCAGTTACCATCAGCTGGTGGCGAGAGAGATAAAGACATCGAATCGGACAGGGAAATACAGATCTAGAGAATTCATCAATTAGAGAATTGATGTAACTGTCGTAGTACTAAGAAATTACCTTTTGTATCTGACGGGGATGACACCACCGACAGGCTGAGCAAGTTTCTGAAACATGGGGTAGGAGAGATCGAAGTGGAGACGGGGAGGGTCACACCAGCCACCTTCGGAACCCGGAGGACAAGCATTGGTGGCCGTCACAGTGATCTGCTTCCCCCCAGAATAGCACCATCTGCTTCCGTCCAACTTGCAAACGAGCGTGAAACAAGCTCCGCAGGTGAGCCCGTTGTTGAACAAACCGTTGCTCAGAGCGGTGGTAGCAGTTCCATAACCCCGAGAATAGAGATTACCATAACCGCAAGCTCCACCTGCAATCCAGTTCAGATCTCGGTAAGCACGCTTGCAGGATAAATTCAAGAGACTTTGATATGATGCTGAATTGCCTACGAGATTGCCATATATTTCCAGTAAGACCCAAATCATCACAGAATTCCGTCGGTTTCATATGAGAATCAATTGTTGCGACGACTGTATCAGACTCTCGATGAGTACAAATGCGGTCGGGGATTACTGTGATTCTTTGTCACTCAGGGGATGGCTGCAAAATTCTGTATGTCAGATGCGATGATGAACAATTCTTTCACAAAAAAATCGGGTTTGTAAATGTCAAATTGCAGGAAATCTGGAGGTTAAGAATACAAGGAGGCTCACCCATTGTGCCCGATGCATCATTGCCACCATAGAAAGTTGCATGTGCATTGCCCCAGCTTGTGGTAGCCCAGGGTTGCACCGCGTCCACAAGAGTGGCCCTGAAGAACATAAGCATCAGAGCCTTAAGCAGGACAGCGAGTTTCTTGAATGCCTCCATCTCTTTATCTGGCCTTCAGCTAATACAACCGGACCTCGGCAGACGCCTTGAGAGTGGAATTGAGACCGAACCTTGCATTGGATTTGAGAAGTCGGGAGGCCCATCTTATACCAGGAGTAGGAAGCATGGAACAGTGAGAATTCAACAGCGAAAATCGTGATGGCTGTCAACTCGCGGGAATACTGCTCGGGGTCCAAGTAGATAGACAAATGATTCTGACTTTTGATCAGTCAGTAGTAGATCCCAAGAAATTAGAAAAGCGGTGGAGCTGAGAATACTAATAGAAAGTCAATGGCTTCGCCGATCAGCGCTTTTGCCATCCATGCCCAAGAGCAGCCGCTCCCCAAACGTGAGCAACACCTTTCTCAACGTTGTGAACGCACACAATCATAATGCACATAATCTCCTCCAGATGCGCTTGACGCTCGCTTGAACCCCCGACGAAACCCAACAGTAGCCAGGCCCCCTCCCCCGCCAGAGTCGGGAGTCGGGTGTTGGGGCTCGTTTCCAACACGTACGTCCTCAGAGGCATCGAAATATTCGCTGGGCAGATTATTCTCAGTGCCTGATATATCCGGGTCAGGAATTTGCGGCTTCGGATAACAAGGGGATGCTAATCGGGGGAGTATCTGAGCGAAACGCAAGGTCCGTGTGACTTTTGAGCGCAACGTTAGTCACGATTGTGAGTAATGGTGCAGTTACGCGGAACATAAGGCCCCGAGAGTGCTCGATTCGGACATTGTCATGAGAAGAAGAAGCTTGGATCGGAAGGCACCTCCTCCTCAGGTGAGAGGAAATTTCTGAGAGATCGACTCACAGTTCTGCATCGACCGGGTTCTGGATTCTTCCTGTCTGAATACGCAAATCGAACGCAGAAATTTTCCGTACGTCCGACACATGCACTCACCGCAAAAGATTATTATCGGACCAATAGCCCCTCTTGATCCTCCTGCCCTCAAGATACGTAATTATTGTCCACTGAAACAAGAGTCACATACTGCTTTCAAGATCGAAGCATTTCAGAGACTTGGAATCCAGGACTTAGAAGAATTCAGGCTACTGAACATGGAAAAGACCCATATAAAACATATATCCGTGGAAATTTCTTTCTTGGGGCACCGTATCGGACGCCTTTCAGACTATTTCAAACACTTGAAATACAACATATTAGAAAAGTAAAATGAATCCGATCACCTTCTTTCCGTCAAAATAATATGATTTGATTTCACTCCCATATCAATGCTCACTATAAAATTTTGACAAATAAAGGATGTGGTTTTGAATTTTTTGATTCCGTGGAATGTATTTATTGTATATAATCGGACACTCCACGTAGCGTTGCCAGTTCAGTTGTTCTCGAAAGCTCTGTAGGCATGTATTCCCAGTCATAGAAATACAGAAATATGAGAACCAGATGTCGAATAGGGAACGATATCTTGTCACCAGATGAAATCTGTAGCTGTGCTACGACGGCGTTCGTCGGCCACTTTCGACCCTGTCATGGTGATGTCCAGAGCGTCGCAGTACTGAACAGAGGGAAAAGCACTTCACAACAGTACAGCTGCAGTGAGCTCATGGTGATGGCACTCGTGGACATGTGAGCTCAGAGGCGGAAAGCGACACAAGGTTTGACCCGTACATGTTCACATGACACCGTACGGGTCAAGGGGCACGAGGCATGCTCGGCTTCGCCGCCTGCATCTCTTCATCTCTTCATCTCTTATTCATCCTCCATAGCTCGAAACGCGGCGCAGTCACCGGGTATCGGCGCTCTACGAGGTTAACGTCCAGCAAGCTACGAGGTTAGCGACTCGCAGTTCGCGTGCCCCTCCCCTTCCCCGCGAGGGGAGAGAGAGAGAGAGAGCATGAATTGCTGCTGCACCGCACTCTCACGTCAGAGCAGGCGTAGAGCGAGGTCCGTCTGACCCGAGAGGCTCGCCGACACGGGCCATGGGGAGGGTGTGAGAGCATGATGGGACGGACGAATTTAGCTTGAGCTTCAGGTCAACCCCGAGGGCGCAAATAGATCCATAGCCTTTCACGAGTCCAGACAGTGCAAAATTGCACGACCGTCGAGCCAACCGCAGCTCTCGTCTGCAGGCCGCTTGTGGTGTCTGATTCGCCCCCCGCTTTGACTTGCTTGCGATCGGAGGGAGGGACGGAGGGCTGATTGATGCTGATGATGATGATGATGATGCTTGTGGATCTAGATTCACGTACTCACGTTTTTCCGATTCGGCGGTTGGAGGGAGCTCCTGAGATTTCGTCCCGTCCGTCCCTCGCTCCCTCGGCCTCGAAAACGCCACCATAACTGGTTTCTCAACGGTCGCCGGCATCGAGCGCCGCCAGGCCGAGCAGGCCTCGTGGAGCAACGCTGCGCCGATTCCGTAGCCGATCGTGAGCTTTCTCCTTCAAGAATCTCGAGTCAAAGGAGCTCAGCCCCACGGAGCGAGAGGGGAGCCGAGCGTTTTCGTGCATGCGTCCGCGCACTGTGCAGGCGAGCTGACGCAGCTCGGAAAGCCCGCTCGAAAGTTCCCTCTGATTAGCTCTTTTCCTTTCCCTGTGCTACCGATCTGATACTATTTGCGAGCCATGGAAAGAGCCGGAGAATAGAGTTTGCATCTCTCGATTTCAAGCCTCGGATGATCAATAGTGAAGTCACAAGCACTTCGAAAGGCTGCAAGGAGCATTTGAGAAAGGAGTCCGATAATTTCTCTCCTTGGGAAGATATTCTGATTCTCAAAGAATTTACGTGAAAGGAAATTTGTGTGGGTTTAGAAACTTCGTATATGGCTGAGCTAGGTAATGAAAATCTTCTGCCGATTGGAGCCGCTCAGGGTCCTCTGCAGTCTTCGGAATACGAGAGTATATGTAAGACATACAATCGGTGATTGAAAGTCATGAATCTCTCTGGGGTCTAGATTTAGATGTGTCTCGAAACTTCAAATTAACTCTTTATCCAGAATATAATCTGGCCCTTATTATTAGGTCCGAATGCCTGTTGCTCGAAACAAAGTATTCAAAGGAATTTTGATTACAGCATTTACGATCCTCAAACGTGCCATATAGTTTCTAGCCTTGAGACTCTCTGGTATGATGGCATCTGCGCACAGGTTTGGCCTACGTTGTTAGAGAGTCAGCAATTTTGCGGTATCAGATTCGCCTCACGCATCAGGACGTCGCATCGACCGCAACTCAATTCCGATGAGATTCATCAGCCGAACTGCAAATGCTCTACTTGCTTATAAGACTTCCACAATCGGACTTGCAATTGATGGAAAGAAATCTCATTCATGAGGTTCCGGAACAACATTATCTGGAAGTGACTCTGAAATGGCTCGATTTATTAATCGAACTCTTGATTGACAACAATGAAGGTCTTTCCGTCAGATCGTTCTGAAATTCCTGGTCTACAACTTCAACTCTGTCAGCTGAGGGATTACTATGAAGATGGTGGGCCTCACAGTGGGCGGTTTAAGTATTTACACGCCTCGTCTGTTCTATGCCTGCCGTGTATATTGTAACAGAGGGCGTTAATCGGTTGATTTATACACGCCTCGTCTGCGTCTATATAGACAGAGCTAATTCTATTGAACATGGTTCAGAATGACCGTCACGAAAGAGACTGCATGAACAATCACTAGAAGTTCTGATTGTTGTCGGCTTCATAAGTCTGGCCAAAGTACCAATTCGGTGAAGCAACGTCGTAGAACTCCTGAGTCCTTCCGCTGCCTAAAGTGACACGGAAAGAGAGAGCTTGACCGACAAGGTGCTCACTGGCGGACCAGAATTGTCCCCAATTCTGATACATGGTAGTCCAGCCTCCGTTATCTCCCTTGATGGAGACGCCAGCCACATCTCCATCACCTGCCACATTGTGGACCAGGACATAGTTGAACCAGGCGTTTCCGTGCAAAGTGAATCGGATTCCCCCTTGTCTGTTGCAAGAGACCCTGAGAGGAACAAGAATGATAGAACATCAGTACAGTTCGGCATTTTCATTTCTGAGAGGAATCTGATGAGAAAATTTCAGTGCATCTTCTTCCAGCTTCAAAATTTTAAGTTTCTGCTGGTGGTTACCTCTTGTACTTGACAGGGATGACGCCACCGACTGGTTGAGCGAGTGTCTGAAACATGGGGTAAGACAGATCGAAGTGGAGACGAGGAGGATCGCACCAGCCGCCCTCTGATCCAGGCGGGCATGCATTGGTAGCGGTGACGGTGATGCTTTTACCAGGATAGCACCATTTGCTCCCCTCGAGCTTGCACTCGATAGTGTAACATGCCCCGCAGCTGAGCCCGTTGTTGAAGAGCCCGTTGCTCAGGGCAGTGGAGGCGGTTCCATAACCCAGAGAGTACAGATTGCCGTACCCGCAGGCACCACCTGCAAGAATTTGATCAGCACCAAATGGTAACAAGTCAGCCAGACATGTATGTACAATCAATGTAAATTTACTGCCAACATTCACACTTTTCTGAATCTTCAAATGCAGCATAACATTGCAATCTAACGAAAGGTAATCCAGATTTATCCTGCTGGAAACTTAAGCATGTTAAGATAGCTTAGCAATTAGTAATGATTGAACTAGATTGATCTTGTGAAACAGTATATGCAATAATTGAAGAGCTCTGAAATCTGGAGTGCAATGAGGCGCATCCTTACCCATTGTACCCGAGGCATCGTTTCCGCCGTAGAAAGTTGCATGGGCGTCTCCCCACTCTGTAACTGCCCAGGGTTCAACCGCATTTACGAGCTTGAACCACAACATCAGCATCAAAGTGCTGAGCACCACAAAGGATCTGTTGAATGCCTCCATGACTTCTCTGGCGTATGTAAAAGAACAAGCACCAGTAATGGAAACAGGCTGGAAGAGCTCCAGATGCAATGCTAAACAGCTCCAAGTGCTGACTTTGCTTTTGACTTCTAAGCTAAGCCAGACACATCTTATAGTTCTGGCTGAAAGAGGGAATAAGCAGCAGCAGTTCCAGCGGCGAAGATCGTGATTTCACTGCACCATTGCAGGGATACTGTAACTCCGGGTTTCTCTAGATCTGACATGAACATTCACTATTGATCGATGATTCAAAAAGTGGCTAAAAGTGGCCGTATCACATCTTCAGGAAACAGTCAATTGCTTTCTTTATCTCATTTCAAATTCCATGTGAAGTAGCTCGCAACTGCGTGAGTGACTCCCTCACTACGGCGTGCTCATGTAAGCTCCTGCGAGTGCGCTGGGCGCTTGCGTGCATGAACACACTTATCCAATATTGAGATGCAAACCGCCGGTGATTGCGCCTCGTGCTGTGGTCGTGTTATGGCACCTGTAGCAGAACCAAGTGCGTGTCTGTCCCATCTCGACAGTTGACATGAGCTCAAGGTTGGGGACGACCTGATACGTTCTACTTCATTTATGGTCTCAGAAGAACGTCAGTTTGTGACGGAACATATGGGCCGGAATCCGGAGCATATTTGGGTCGCATTCATGAAACATGGAGGCGGAATAGCAGGACGGCCTGAAAGGAGTGAACGATTCAGGAGCTGTTGCACACGAGGGCCCTATTCATTGCCATATCCTGTCCACTTGGCAAACCCGGTGAGCTTCAGAGTCTAGACACACATTCGAGGCAGGATTTGACAGCCTTGCAACAATGCTTGTCGGAGCAACTTTGTAGACTCGCTCGGTCTTAGATCGTTAAGGCTATGGAACTATTCAAGCTTCAGCTCTCTGTCATTATTAGCCTGCTTCAAACTATTTCAATAAATCAAAAGTACCCCCGCTGTCGGTGCATTGCCACTAACGTACTATAATTGTTACTATCGATATCTTTGGCCCAAAAGTGAATTTCCTTCTCTTCAAATATGTACGATGGCTGCCATCTACTGCATCAGATGGCATACGGTCGGGGTTGTTCTAGCCTGCGGTCTAATTATCAACCTGGTATATGGTATATGGAACATCCAACCCCATGCATGGCTCAGAATCTTGCAAGATGCCGAGCTAACTTGATGTAACCATACATTATTAATCTTGGAGTAAAATTATTAGAATTTATATTTTGTTCCATGTTTGGATCTAGCGGGTTCATCATGGGAGCATGCGCAAATTAATATTGGGAGTTTTGTGAGAGAATGACACTGGAATGTGAAGTGAGGTATTGACATGACCACACACTAAACACAATGCGGGGAGAAAGAGCGTCTTTAAAACGATAGATTCCTGGAACTCGTCATCAGATTCCCGTCTGAAATCACTACGTTCCTTCGAGACGACATCAAAACTGCTTCGTGAAGGCACTTGTATACCAGGAGGACTGGCACGAGGCTGGGCTGCTTGCATTGTCTGCGGCGTACCACAAGATTTATGGTCGAAGTGGAAGGAAAGGCGGCGACATTAGAGGGCCATCGGCGATGGTAACGCCAAAGTGGAACCCACTGACCGTGACACAGAGATCAGCCATTGGCAAGCGATGGCCGCCATTCTCGTTCGACGGTTGCAACTTTTTCCCACGTCAGGGGACAAATATTCCGCACCGGCTTACCGGCTGCTGACTTCGTAGCAATCATGGGCCCGGTGGTGACCATGATCAGTCTCCAACCGCTAACAGCGTATATGGCTGGTCTATGAGGCCTCAGGAGGCGAACTGCGTAAGTCTGGAACCATCCAGTTCCAGACTCTCCGCAGCCAAGAGTGCACCACGTGGACGTGGACCGATAGGTCCAATCCAAGCATTCTGAACTGCGACTCCCGTCCCGGTACTGTACTCCGTAACCTCGTCTTTGATTTGCTGCCCTCCTTGCCCATAGTATCTCTCAACCACGTAAGTGCCTCCTGGTCAAGCGCACGTAGCGGGAAAAATTGCGGGCTTTTCGGGATGATTCCGGTCTTTTCAACGTTCAGATAAACGACAGGAAGCAGAGCGCCGCCGCCAAGTTCATGGTGCTTTCGGGCCGTTTCTTGCTAAGATCATGTCAGAATAGTAGAATACGGATCTATTTTGGTTCACACGAGCCCTTTGTATCAGCCAAATTTCTGCTTCGCCTCAGATTTCATTAAGAACTTCTGAAGTTTTCGAAGCAGTTTCTGAGGTGTCCATGTTTGGGCTCAGAGGTTCCAGAAGTGAAATTCAAGGTACTGTACATTTCACTTTTGCTTGGACAATGTCCGATATTATTTATATCCTCGAAACTCGAAGATGAAATGCAGATCTGGGACACAGAAACGAAACTTTGCGATGTTCGTCTAATAATCAGGAATCTCCAGATCGATTTACATAATCGTAGAATCTACAAATTACAGTATGCTACCTCTCCATAGATTCGAAAAGAAAGCTTCCGATCTCAGACGCAAAGTTTTTCGTGTTCCTGATCATCAACCCACCACTAGTTCCACAATTCTTCTGCTGATCAATTGAAGATCGAAGAAAATGAATGGTGGAAGTCTCTCTTCGTCAACAGCGACGGCAATCTCGACCATTTATATCATGTTCGTTAAATGTACCTTCGTCTCATTGTTCCTCCGCTCGCAGATTGATACAGCTCACGTCAAGTTATTACATGCAGTAAGAAATCGTCTTTAATACCAAGTAATCTCAATCTACTGACAGCCCCTGATGTTCGCTGTCAAACATGCGTTGGTGGATATTTTGTCACACAGGGGTGAATGCATTCTCCAAGTATGCTTAAGAATTCACACATTCGTCACATGTTCTCACGGATCGGAAACACAACGAGCAAAAACCAACGGGAGCTTGAAGAAATATGTCGTCCCGTGGTAGAGCCTGTACGCACATTGGCTTCATGCTCCCGAACAGACTGACTGTGCGTCATACTTCTGTCGAGTTCTATCCTGCAGCTCATTTCGTCCCAGATTTAAATTTCCTTATGCGTGCACGCAGGCCAGAGGCGTTTCATCCAAGCGAGCAGGGGCCGATCAATTCAAGACTGAATTGTAGGATCTAGGACTGAGTCAGTGTTGTTGTCTGACAGTTTAAAACTCGATTCACCAAGTGTAACGATTGGACGTCGTTGTGAAGTGAAGGCCTTGAATGATATCGGAGGATATCTTCGGGATGGTGTCTAATTCAGGTGGGAAGTCTAAAATAATGTCTCACTCAAGATGCTTTCATGTACATATAAAGTTATTTAATATTTATAAAATGCACCATTTTTTCAAAAGCACTCCTTACACTTTAAATGTGATTTGAAATTATAATATAGAATTTTCGTTCTTCACACACTACACACAAGATTTTGTATACTTCTGGATCTGTCATTAGGCACACACCCAGTATACTGATAAGTATCGTCTTGTCAACTTCATATGTTGATATGTGGATTCGTCATTAGGAATGCGATAGAAACATAAGGAGATTTTTTAATTTCATACTTAACTTATTACTAAATGTACGAGAACAGATAGAAACTGCCTACAAGCCAGAAGACATTGTCAAAAAGATTTACAGTACGAGAGATCTGTGTCTTACAAACACATAAAATCAACTCATACCAAAGTAGTATTGTGGATATGGATCACGCTGTGAATACCTCGGTTGAAACTAAAGAACATGTTCAACATGTTCAGCAAAAACTTTTGTTCCCAAGTCAAGTTTTAGTTTCAACTTCTTAATCAGATCTTTCTAAGAGTTTTAAGAATAACTCTATTATTGGTGTATAATTAGTATTCAATTCTGTAATATATACCCATTAACCATGAACAAATTGTCTTGATGTAGTCTCTATCTCTTAGTTCTCCGACTCATTTTCTAGCACCCCATACAATTTCTAAACCTTAATTCTTTACTTCGAGAAGTTATCCAAAGTGTACAACCTCGACCAATGTCCTTTGAACTTATAAGCTGCAACATAACTTTGCAATTTTTAGAAGCCAAGAGTTTCGTGCGGGTCCTGAAGCTGGAGCAAGTCGCAACCTCGACTTGCCGATGCGGGTCCAAACTCCTCAGCTCGAGAACGGTCGTGGTATGGAGCTAGAGCTGGATTGCCCTCAAAACTGAAATTGCACATCGTTCATCCATGCCTACTCTTGTCAGAAATATCGACTTTTCTTCCTCAAGAATACTTCATGATGTATACAGCAAAGGAACAAAGAGATTTCAAAATTCCCGTTGCTTGTTGTCTGTCATGTCGGTAAACTTCATTGTACTCCTTCCTTTTACCACGAGTTCTAGATGGAAATACTAAACCACTTCTTTTCGGTAGAGCTGGATAGCACCTATCCACTTGAAGTGAAAACTGAGAGTGATTCATTCATTCGCACTTCTACAGACAAATCATTGTAGGACTACGTCGTTCCACGAGAAAGAAATGGCACATAGCTGTAACACCCAATAGGCTTTCACGGCTCCGCAATGTCTTGCCACAGTTCAGCGACATGCTAGCAATATATTGACAATGATACAAGATGAAGACAGTCGATGGAAAAACCTTCGAAATGAGAGGCAACATCAACATCGTAAGCAATTTGGCGCATCAGAATCTCATTCTGTTGAGAACGTAACGATGGGAGAAGCTGACACTGAAATTTATGTATTACATACATTGAGTCGTCTGGTCGAGAATGTCTGGTCTGTAGTGAGTGCTTACATGCCACATTCTGAGGTTCAAAGTCACTTGCAAGGTGCAAGTTTTACCCCGCCGTGAGAATTTATCTTAGCAAATATTCTGGAGGACATTGTGTCGTCTGCTCTAGAATGGTTGTATCTATCTTTCGAACTTGCCAGTGAGTGCTTACATGCCAAATTCTACTTTCTGAGCTAGTATTGCGATCCGTTCCAATTTGAGACGCAGGTAAAATATCAAATCTCGATTATCTCGAAAGCGTAATCTAAATTACTGGTAGTATGAAACCATCTGAAGTCTTGCCGAAAGATACATCTTGATAATCCCCTTTGATTAATTCGACGAAATGAGAAGGCATAACA